GCGCCTCGCTGGGGGGAACGTTACTCCACGCTTCGCATTTGGCGTGATTGGGGTTTGTTTTGCTCGCTCACGTAAGTCTTCGCTCGCGCTCGCACAAGTTGTTCGCTCACTCGCTCCCACATTCCCTCCAACAAGAAGCAAATAACTCACGAGGTACATAGGCCTCCACACAGCGCAGACACGCACGCAAGTATTTGAATTCGACCGAGCACTCGGGATCGGCATGTACGACATGATTCGCGATTTTGCACGTCATGCCAGGGTAGTTCGAGTTGACCACGTCGTCACACTGGTTGCAACGTACAACGAGCGCGGTCATGATTTTTGCGGCGGGCCTGCGTTGTACGACGTTGGGATTGATTTGGGGGTTCGAATTCGCGGGGGCAGCGGAACGCGGGCGCGCGGGCGGCTCTGCTGCGAAAGCAAGGGCGGGATACGAGGGCGCAGAGGACGAGGCTGAGGACGACGCTGCAGTTGCGACAGAGGGTGCCGAGGCGGGGCGGCGCATTGAAATAAGGTTTCTGCAGCAAATTGGTCAATTGATTTCGCGGACGGCAAGAAGGGCACTCACGGCGTGGTCTTCTTTGGGCGCGTCGTGCTGCTGCTGCTGCTGCTGCTGCTGCTGCTGCTGCTGGCAGTGGCCGTGTTGGTGTTTTTGGCAGTGTTGGTGGGCGTGGGCACTGTCGCGGCATCAGTTTTTGCTTCTTTTTTTCAACAAGAAATAAATCACGCACCCGAATCGACAAGCTGAATGTGACCGCTGGCCGAGAGAACAACACGACGCCGCGCAGTGGGCGCTGTAAAAAGAGAATAAATAAACACAAACAACCCAATGAAAACAAAAACGCACCCTTGGTCGAAGCAAACTGAGCACTGCCACACCGCCCTTTCTCAACACACGTGTATATCTGCGCACCGAGAGAAGAACTCTTTGCGCACCCGCGATGCATCACCTCCTTGCAAAAGTAGCAGTGCACCATGTCCCCCGCGATGATAAAGATTTCGTTGTGGCATTCGTAGCAGCAGCTGCGGAGGCGAGAGAGTAAGTGTGATGATGTGGGTGGGTGGCAGGGGTGTGGGGCGTTGCCGGGGAGGAAGTGGTTGCACTAGTGCTGCTGGTGATGCTGCGGGGGATGATGCGCACAAGATTTCGTGGTGATCAGTTTCGCTTCCGCTGATTTCGTGCCGGGGGTGGGGGGGGGCGGGGGGTGATGCGTCATCAGCCAGGATTTTCGAGTTGGGATAGGATATCAGCAAGATTTTCGACTTTCGCATACGATATCAGCCGGATTTTCGACTTGCGGATATGATATTAGCTGGATTTTCAGAATTCGGATACGATATCGGAAGTGACGCACCATGACTGAATGCCCCCTCTGGGGTTTGAGCTGCCACATCCTCAAAAATGCTCCAATCCTGCTCAGATTTGGCACATGCCTCACCGATAATAACGAGACGGCGTAGCCGTCGAGATGATGCCGCAAGCTCTCAAACTGATAGAGCGGATTCTAGTGGCTGAGTCTGGATTTTCAAGCCATGGTTACCTCACTAGCGCCTCGCTGGGGGGAACGTTACTCCACGCTTCGCATTTGGCGTGATTGGGGTTTGTTTTGCTCGCTCACGTAAGTCTTCGCTCGCGCTCGCACAAGTTGTTCGCTCACTCGCTCCCACATTCCCTCCAACAAGAAGCAAATAACTCACGAGGTACATAGGCCTCCACACAGCGCAGACACGCACGCAAGTATTTGAATTCGACCGAGCACTCGGGATCGGCATGTACGACATGATTCGCGATTTTGCACGTCATGCCAGGGTAGTTCGAGTTGACCACGTCGTCACACTGGTTGCAACGTACAACGAGCGCGGTCATGATTTTTGCGGCGGGCCTGCGTTGTACGACGTTGGGATTGATTTGGGGGTTCGAATTCGCGGGGGCAGCGGAACGCGGGCGCGCGGGCGGCTCTGCTGCGAAAGCAAGGGCGGGATACGAGGGCGCAGAGGACGAGGCTGAGGACGACGCTGCAGTTGCGACAGAGGGTGCCGAGGCGGGGCGGCGCATTGAAATAAGGTTTCTGCAGCAAATTGGTCAATTGATTTCGCGGACGGCAAGAAGGGCACTCACGGCGTGGTCTTCTTTGGGCGCGTCGTGCTGCTGCTGCTGCTGCTGCTGCTGCTGCTGCTGCTGGCAGTGGCCGTGTTGGTGTTTTTGGCAGTGTTGGTGGGCGTGGGCACTGTCGCGGCATCAGTTTTTGCTTCTTTTTTTCAACAAGAAATAAATCACGCACCCGAATCGACAAGCTGAATGTGACCGCTGGCCGAGAGAACAACACGACGCCGCGCAGTGGGCGCTGTAAAAAGAGAATAAATAAACACAAACAACCCAATGAAAACAAAAACGCACCCTTGGTCGAAGCAAACTGAGCACTGCCACACCGCCCTTTCTCAACACACGTGTATATCTGCGCACCGAGAGAAGAACTCTTTGCGCACCCGCGATGCATCACCTCCTTGCAAAAGTAGCAGTGCACCATGTCCCCCGCGATGATAAAGATTTCGTTGTGGCATTCGTAGCAGCAGCTGCGGAGGCGAGAGAGTAAGTGTGATTATGTGGGTGGGTGGCAGGGGTGTGGGGCGTTGCCGGGGAGGAAGTGGTTGCACTAGTGCTGCTGGTGATGCTGCGGGGGATGATGCGCACAAGATTTCGTGGTGATCAGTTTCGCTTCCGCTGATTTCGTGCCGGGGGTGGGGGGGGGCGGGGGGTGATGCGTCATCAGCCAGGATTTTCGAGTTGGGATAGGATATCAGCAAGATTTTCGACTTTCGCATACGATATCAGCCGGATTTTCGACTTGCGGATATGATATTAGCTGGATTTTCAGAATTCGGATACGATATCGGAAGTGACGCACCATGACTGAATGCCCCCTCTGGGGTTTGAGCTGCCACATCCTCAAAAATGCTCCAATCCTGCTCAGATTTGGCACATGCCTCACCGATAATAACGAGACGGCGTAGCCGTCGAGATGATGCCGCAAGCTCTCAAACTGATAGAGCGGATTCTAGTGGCTGAGTCTGGATTTTCAAGCCATGGTTACCTCACTACGGTAGAGCGTAAGACTCTTAATCTTAAGGTTGCGGGTTCGACCCCCGCATTGGGCTTTTGTTTGTCTTTGGAAGTGATTTCATCACTTTTATTGAATTCTATGTCTTTCTTTTTCCTTAATTATTATTCAAAGAAACAGTCTGGATTCAAGAAAAAATTGTTCAATCAACCACCACTTTGGTACCAACTGAGTTTCGGAAGGCCCAACAGTCTGAATCTCACCATACATGGCATCAATTGATATACCAAGATGATGGGAATGTGTGGCTTATATTGCATCTCTGTACACATTCTAATGCTGAAACAAAAACCTCAATACAAACCCAACAGAACACTGGAGCCAAACAAGAAGCATCATGATGGACCCTTTATTTTTACGTATACCCCTTGCTAAAATGGGTGGATGAAGGGGTTGAAAGGAACATTCAATCCTGTTAGGAATCACTCCCTTTCTCCAATTATTATTGGAGGATATTCTATTTTTAGTTTATTCTAGTCTAGTACTTTCGTGTCTGTTAGCTTTGGCATCTCTCCCCTTCCTGCCTCCTCACAGAAATGGTCTCTCAAGCCTCCACCTCCAAGAGTTCCGTCTCTTGGTAGACTCACCCACCTCCTGGTCAGGTTCTAGCAAATCCAATGTACAAACAAATTCCAAGCCCAATACTAAATAAATGCTGGTAGAAGATCAAACTCAACCAGCCCCACCACCCCCCTGAGATGGGAATCTCACAGTTTTCAATTCAAAAATCATCTTCAAAACACCTTTGTTGGTCATTTGGCAAGCTCGCTGCCATGTCTACCCTTCTCTCTCTCTCTTTCTCTCTTTCTTTCAAAGAGTGATAGAAGATGCTTCAAGATTGACCACTGCCTTGACTGGAGCAGCCAGTAATGACTGTTGTCCCCAATGACCTTGTCCCCATTAAACACCAAGAACACCTGATCCCACCGAAACTCCGAACTCCGACCATTGTCTGCAACGACACAGATTCTCTGCACATCACCACCTATGACCATGATCCAGCAGATCTCGCCGAACCCCTGACCTCAGTGCACAATGACACATATACTCCACACAGACCCACCACCACCATTGCCACCTATGACCACAATCTCACCAAAGCCCTTTTCCACCCCATTGAGGTGTTTGACGTTGTTGACACATGCAAGTGAGTGTCGTGGTGGTGTCGGTAAGTTGACGCATTCCTCAACGGAATTGCCCTCGAAAAGTTCCTCACGGAAAGTGACTGGCGCATTGTCAAAAACAGCAAAGTGTGCACAAATGCCGTAGAGCTCAGAAAATTGGTGGCCGGATCAATTCGCATTTGGGACTGGTAATGTCGTGTCGTCTGATTTCCATTTTCTTTTTGTTCATCTTTCTATCCCTTTTCAGTCAACTCCTCAAATCGACAACTGGAAAAGGGCCAATGCAGACCTCATGAACAAGTTCCAGAAGATGTATGGCTTTTTGGGAGTCTGTCAACGTGGACAGGACATGGAAATGCGAGCCACCTTGGCAGATTCGCTTGCCATTAAGTTCATGCAATCCGCATGTCCTATTCTGGCAATCCTGATTTGCACTGTGAGTCTTCACGCTTGTCTGCCTTTTGTTTTGACCTGGACCGAATCACTCATCACCTCCTTCCCAGCATCTCACCACCATGCAATGCACCATGCCTCTTCACACCAAAACGGTTTTCTCCCTCAACCTCGCCCGTTTTCATAAGCAGATCATTTCTCATGCCGTGTTCGCGCTCCCACTCATACCCAAGTTACATCCAGCAAATATCCTTGATGGAATCCGGTCCCAAAGCAAATATATTTTGTTGGGTTGACGGATCCCCTGCGTCTGCGCATTTCCACTTTCAGTATCTGGTTCCGAACTCAGAAGCATTCGTCAACCCAACAAAATGGATTTGCTTCGGGACCAGATTTGGAGCGGAATTAAACAGAAGAGGCGTGTGGAACCGCATCCGGCTGGACCGGGAATGGAGAAGGAGGAAAGCCGTCAGAGGATTTTCACGGACGCGGGAAGACCGGCCAAGAACGCTGTCAACAAAAACACGCTGAACTATTTATTTGCATTCGAAACTACTCCCAATCAGTCTCGCCCCACACATCCCCCATATCTTTCTCTTTCGACTCACTCGTGACTTCCTTGTCATTCTTGTCTTCCACAGCAGGCTCCTTGACGCAACTCTCGCTATCGCTCACTTTTGAAGTCTCCTCCCCCACCTTGTCCGAATCAGCCACCTTGTCGGAAACAGCCACCATGTCGGAACCAGCCTCCTTGTCCGTATCAGTCACCTTGTCAGAACCCGCCCCCGTCAAGTTTTGCAGCTTGGCCGCAATCTGCTCCTTCACACTCCCCCGCCTTTCCGGCACCTTCTTTTTCGTCACATCACTGTCCGAGGACTCTCTCGCGGCCGCCACGACATCCGCCTCATGCATCTCGGAATCTTTTGCATCCTCTCCCACGGTCTCCTCCTCCACCTTTGGCACACTCTGTTCGGCCATGGCGACATCTGCTGAGTTCGCGTCCTTTGTTGACGCTTCCGACTCGGCCACGACCACCACCGCATCGGCTTCCGTAGTAGCAGCAGCAAGAGCAAGGGTCTCCTCGGCGGCTTTTTGTTGTGCTTCGAGAATGGCTTTCGTGCGAGGGTTGTGTTTTGCGGGAAGGAAAAAGATGGCGGGCTCGGTGGATGTTTTCAAGAAGTTGGCCAGGTTTCGCGCTTGTGTTGCTGCGATGGATTTCTGGATGGGAGTGAATGCGAGTGAATACTTGGTGGCAACGAATCGAAACCAAGTAAACCAACCTTCTCCTGTTCCCTCTCAGCGAGGATCCTCGCGGCACGGCTCTCGCGCGTCTTCCGTGCGGCTTCCTTTTCGTTCTCGACTTCTTCGTGCAGCTTTTTTTGCTCAGCGGCGAGTTTTTCGCGCAGCCGCTTTTCCGTCTCTTTGCGGCGCTTTTCGGCGTCCGTTTTGGTGTGCAAAGTTTGCTGGCGCATGAGCGATCTGGATAGAGAGAAGTGGTGAGTGAGGAGGGGGGGAGGCAAGTAGGGGTGAATAGGGAGTTTACCCCATCAGCGCCCCAAACATGCGCTTTCCGCGAGACGTGGCTTCGTCACTCGGTGTGATTGCAGAGGAAGGCCTCTTGCGAGAGAGTGTGGCTGTGGCAGGGGTGGGAGTGGTGTCGATGGCGGGTGGTGCATCTGATGACATATTTTGGGGGTCTGTTGCGCAGTTTTTTTTATTCTGTGAAAATCAGAAGCGGAAGTTGCTCGCCACAATCGCGTCTTGTAAAACATCCACATCTCCACGCAACGCCACAACATCATCCGCCAGCACAGAAAGCGCGTCAGGAAACAACGGTAAATCAGTCCCACAAATCGTCCCTTCGCCGGCAACTGCCCCGTCTCGAAATACTGCTTCACGTATCCCATCGCGCATTTCGATACCATACTCGTCGAACAGTGTCCATACCCCTCCCTCGTGAGCAACACGCCATTGCCCTCCATCACCCGTTCCACAATCTGCGCACTCGCAAGCGGAGTCGGGAACATATAAAACCTGGTTCTTGAGCGTGTGATTCCAAGGACCCGTGAACCGTTCCGACGCCTTCGCATGCCAATACTTGCACGTGAGCGCAGACATTGTGAATGACTCGCCAAACCACTCACTTGTTTTCTTGTTTTCGCACGCGATGGATTCCCACTTTTTGAGCGAGATTTCGTTGCCGAGCGTGTAAAACAACAGCAAAAACAATACTTACTTTCGCCTTGGTTCCGGCACGCGGAAACAAACAGACGGTTCCATCCTGTCTTCGGAATATGGCGGGGGAAACCTACATGTCGTTCATTGTTTAAGAATTACATGAAATATGAAAGCAAGTAAACAAACCCACCAGTGATTGGGACGCGGCGCAACTCATGAGACTTGGACCCCGCAGGGTCAACGAGAACAACTCGGCTTTGAAACTCGTCCATCCTTTCCCGATCCTCGAGATGGATACGCATTCTGAGCTCGCAGCCTCTTTTCGATAGCTCCACACTGGCTGGGATTCTGTTGATACGCAGGAACAGATCATGCGGGCTCGCAAAGAAGGTCTCGCAGCGATCAGAAGTAATAAAGCCCGTCCTGAGTTCAAGGTTCGCTAGCGTTTTTTCCATGGTTTCTGTTGGTGGCTGGTTGTGGTGGTGGGTGGTGGTTGCTGGTGGTGGTGGTGGTAGTGGGCTTGGCTGGTGGAACGTAAAGCGGGGGGCTCTTGAGGGTGCTGTCCCTTCATTCTTTGAATAGTGATAAATATGAGTTGGAAGTTGGATTTCATGCGCATGCAATGAGGAATAGAATATTTACAGGGGTGGGGATCGATTTTCTATTTTTCCTTGGTGAATAAATTGAAAGAGATTGTGTCACTGATTTCCGTCCCAACGGTCGAGATCATCCTGGCCCGGAAGCCCGGAAATGGATTGAGAAGGAATTTGGGCTGCGTCTGCTCAGAATTGATAGGGGCTGGAATTTTATGAAAAGTCCTTCTCACGCGGCATGCGAAACCGTTCTATTCAACAAAATATGGAAACACTTTCACAGGCGACGCCTTAAGCTCCTTAAATTGACAACTTGCCCCATCCGGCCCGAACGGCTCCGCCTTCCATGCGCCAAATGACAAATGCGGACCTGTTCGGAACCCCTTCAAATTCTCAGCCACAAGGAAATCGAGCCTCGCATCATAACAATTGCGATTCATGACAATGGAACTCGTCATGCCATTGCATTCACTCAACTGCCGAACCGCGTTGGAAGAAACAGACGCGTCCGCATCGCGCGACACGGCCACCACATTTTCCGAAACCTCAAACGTGTTAGACACAAGCTTACCAAACACGAACCCTGCGCAGTCCTTGTTGACAGACCCATCCCCAAATTTGCCATTGTGCGACACAAAATTGTGCATGGCAACGCCACTGCCGCCCACCTTGACACCCGCGCTGCTGTTTTGGATGAATGCATTCGAGAGGATGCTCATGTTGGTTGCAGCAGCGTTGTTGTAGATGCC